CCCCAAAACCCCAAAACCCCAAAACCCCAAAACCCCATTAGATTAAACATTTGTTGAATTTGTAAACTCAGAATTACGAAATTAGGTTGAGCTGTTTAGCCTCCGAACCCATAGATGGTTCTGCCTTGCCTTTTCAGAGCATATACGACATCTAAGGCAGTCACAGTTTTTCTCTTGGAGTGTTCTGTGTAAGTCACACTGTCTCTGATGACATTCTCGAGGAAACACTTGAGCACGTTTCTGGCTTCATCGTAGATAAGCGCTGAGATCCTCTTGACTCCGCCTCTTCTTGCAAGTCTTCTGATTGCAGGCTTGGTGATGCCCATGATGGTTTCTCTCATGGCTTTCTTGTTGTGTCTCTTGGCTCCTACTTTACCGTAGCCTTTGCCTCCTTTTCCTCCGCCTTTACCTTTACCTGGCATTTGATGTTTAAGTGTTGTTGTGAAGAAGTATGTTGGAGCTTGGTTATATAGCGTGTCTGGGAGCTAATTTTTTGGAACACACACATTACTGGCGATTCTAGTGGCTAGAATCCATCTATTTAACCCATATCTCTGTTAGAAGTTTCTCTTGAGCATGAGCTATTCATAAAAGGTTATGCTTTATTTAGCAATCAAAAAGATCGTAAAAGTTTCAATCTTTCGTTCAAATTTTGCTGTTGTTGAAGCCTTTACAAGATAGATATAAACACTTTTAAATCGAGGAAGAAGTTCCTAGAATCTTTCTTTGGTGCTCATTTTCTTTTTTGATGAATTTCAGTCAGATTTAATGAATACCATTGATACTTCAGATCAGTTTAATAGCTATTACTCAGACTTAAATAATACAACAATATGGATTGTGTAAAGAACCTGACTAGTATGAATATTTCAGACATTGTAACTCTCTGATTAGAGTGATCTCAAAATCAGCGTGAGTTTTGCCTCAAATTGAAATCATGATACTCCAAACCTTAGACATAAACTCAAGAGTCACGCCTTTAAATCTATCCAAAAAATTAAGGTGTAGGTCCTAAGACATGATTATGCTCGCTATATGTCCTCTTTTGGCTATCGCTACATCCAAATGGCTAAATTCTTTTATATAGGTACCATCTATCACTGACAGTGTTGAAGTGATTTCAAGCTAGTACAAAAATATCTTTGGGTATTCCCAACCAAAAATCTCGAATTTGACCAAATTTATTAGGAATGCGAGTTATTTGGAAGGGAAAATGATGATTTTGGAAGACAGGAAATGCTTGAGATTGTAAAAATTGGTTTCAAATTAAAAAGGGTATAAGGAGGTCAGAGGGTTGAGAAGAGAGTTAGGGGGAAATCTACAAACAAAAGGAAAGTGATACTATATGGTAGAGAGGAGGAGTATGGGAAGAAAAATTGGAAGGATTTTGTACAGAATTGTGGAATATGATATGGGTTAAAGAAATTCCTGAATTTTATAAGTTTTAAAATGAATTCAGGAGGATCGATTAAAACATTTAAACAAAGAAAAGATATAAAAAATATATAACTAAAATTTTAAATCATTAACACCCCTCTGGGGTTTTGGGGTTTTGGGGTTTTGGGGTTTTGGGG